CCAGGGAAACACCTGTTTACTTTCTGTCTGTGAATTTGACGATTGTAGGTATCTCATATAAGTGTATCATGCAGTATTTGTCCTTGGTGATTGGCTTATTTCCCTTAGCACAATATCTTCACGGTTCATCCATGCTGTAGCCTGTGTCACAATTTCTTCCTTTTAAAGGCTGAATAATATACCTTTGTAATATTTTGTTTTCTTGTTTTATTCGCCACATTTTGTTTATTCATTTATCTGTCCATGGAGATATGGACTGTTTCTACCTTTTGGCTGTTGTGAATAATTTTACTATGAGCATGGGTGTATAAGTAAAAACTGTTTGAGTCTCTGCTTTCAATTCTTTTGGATATAAACCCAGAAGTGGAGTTATTAGATCATTTCATAATTCTATTGATTTTTTTGAGGAACTGCCATACTCTTTTCTGTAGCAGCTGCACTATTTTGAATTTCTACCAGCAGTGCACAAGTGTTTCAATTTCTCCCCAACCAGGTTTACACTTGTTATTTTTTTTGTGTGTGTGTATTTTATTTTGTTGTTGTTTATTTTTGTCATTCCCCCTCCTCCCCCATTATAATAGCCACCCTAATTGGTTGAATTGATATCTCGTTGTGGTTTTGATTTGCATTTCCCTAGTGATTAGTGATGCTGAGCATCTTTTCATGTGGTTATTGGCCTTTTATATGTCTTCTTTGGGAAGATGCTTACTCAAGCCATTTGCCCACTTTTTAATTGGATGTTTTTATTGTTGAGTTGTAAGAGTTCTTTATATATCTGGCTATTAACCCTTCCTGGATATAAATTTGTAAATATATTCTCCCATTCTGTTGGTTATCTGTTGATAGTGTCCTTTAATACATACAGTTTTAAATTTTCTCTTAGTCCAGTTTTTCTGTGGGGAGCTGCTATAGGGTTAAGCCTCGGACTGACCTGTTGGCAAAGTCATAAACAAGTCCAAGCTTAGAGGGCACAGTCCTCTTAAGCATAGTTAGGCTTGACCTAATGATGCTCCTTAGATCTTACCTGGGAAGCTAATGGGCTGAGGAAAGTGCAGCAAGAACAAAAACAAGTGAAACTCACAAGAACAGTGTAACTTTGGTAACCACTACCTTGTTTACCTCTGACTATAAAATAAAGGCTCAGTTTGCCTCAGGATCTTTCTCTGTGGCCTCAGCCAGGCACAGGAAGATCCACGGAGACTGAAGAGAGCTAGAGAGTTCTGAACGCTGTCTCCGTGTAAAACATTCTTCGCCGACTCCTTCCACACCTTTGGGAACCTCTGGACCTCCAGGGCTGGACCCCGGCATTTATCCATTTTTTAGTTTTGCTGTCTGAGTTAATGTCCATTCTATTTTTTTTTATTTGTTTGATGTAATATGGAGTACTACCAGAAAAGAATTAGAATACATTAAAATATTTAACAAAAAGTATTTATAATAAAATAAATTCTTGTAATTTAGAAGGATTTTACTACCTACTAGTACAGAATCATTGTGAACATTATTGTACTACTATTAGATGTAAGACTTAACAAGTTGATCTGAATTATTGTCAGGCCCCATGCTCCTGAAATTAGCTTTTACTTTTTAAATTGGTTTTTACTTGGATATTAGGCTCTTCATGTGTGTAGTTGTGGTACATGCTTAGCACTTACTCAGTTTACCTTTCTGAGTTCCAGTCACATTGTGCCCTTAAAAATATTGTTTCATGATAAGACTTTGCAATGGGCTCATGACAGGTGTGAGTACAGGTGCTCAGCGAGTTACAGACAGCAGAGTCCCCTGTGCTTTGGGTATTGAGAGCTGCCTTGTTTCAGGCACTGTGCTCCCTGCTTTCTACCCACGGTCTCAGGTCACTCTCCTGCCCAGAGGGGTGGGTGGTATTATCCCCATTTTGCTATTGCCGCAAGTTTCAGTGGCTTTAGTTGAATGTATGCTGAGGTCTAGAAAAGGGTGATTGTTTATGCAAGAAAGAAAAAGCATAAAAATTTCTCACTCAAATAAAAAATATATTTCCTGGATGGAATCAAATAGTGTCATTCTACAATGAGATTATTATGGCATCGCCTCTTCAGAGCTTTGCCATTGTTTCCTCTGCCCTTTCCTGAGGGCTGTGCTCTTACCTGCAGTTTCCAAACTGGCTTTTAGTTAATGGCTTGTGCCTTTACAGATGCCGTATTTTAACTGATCACAGGATCGGGGTCTCTGTACCTTTTGTGTTGTGCAGTGGGAAGCATTTGGAAAAAAGCATTTGGATACCTGTCCTTAACTGTAATTTAAAGAGGCACTGCAATTCTAGCCATGGAAGATCTTAGAAGAAGAATCCAGATAAATAAAGGAGAGCTTTAGCTGTTTCTGTAGAAATAGAACATTGGGTTTATTTTAATTGACTTAAGTTTGCCATCAGATTTTCATCAGTTGAAATTTCTCTGGAGGCCAATGCTTTGCTTCTCTTCTTTGGGAATGAATTATTCCAGGGAGAGGCTCTGTCCGTTTTTACTCTAATCTGTACAATGGACAGGCAGTTTTGTTTTTAAATTTTAAACTTTATTTACTGTACTTTTTAAAAATCACCATTAAATGCTGACCTCTTAATGTCCAAAGTTGAGAAGTGAAGGGGCTGTTAGGAAGTGATGTTATACATTAAGCAATTATGGTTTGTCTACATTTTTGGTGGCACAACAGAACTAGGGACTGAAGTAAAACTCAGTTGCAATTGTTGGAAAAACCCGTTCAGGACTGAACCGAAGTCTTTGTTGCTACCAGCAATCTCCCCTTGACTACTACCTTTACTAATCAGGAGAAAGAGCAGCAGGATAGAGTCAATTATTGGCACATGCCAATCTAGATAGTGGGTTGCAGGGCCAACTGGAAGCTGGAAATCTGGCTGGTGGCTGCCGGTCTTTTAGGATCTGGACAACAGGCTGGAAAAGTCTAGAGGCAGAATCAGAATACAGTAAATTCTTTAAAAATAAAAACTGTTTTTACTATAAAATAAATTATCTTACGATTTAATAGGAATTTCACTATCTGCTAGTGCAGACTCATTATTGACATTATTGTGTTGTTCGATTAACAAATTGAGCAGAATATTGCCATGTCCCATGTTTCTGATATTAGCTTTTCCTTTGATATTAGGTGTTTTTTTTTTTTTTTTTAATTCTAAAAAGTTGCATAGCTGCTTGTGTATGGGGCCTGTTTATTTCCCATTTACTCATTATTGTATAAACACTTACTTTGAAATTAGACTGTTGCCTAAGTTCTGTTCTTTATTATCATTACTAGAAGCCTGGTGCATGAAATTCATGCATGGGTTGGTTCCCAAGAGGGGTAGGGGGTGGAGGGCAGGATGCTATTGGCCCCCCAGGTGGGCGGTGGGATGTCTCTGATGGCCCAGAATCTGGATCCCTCCTGCTGACGTTTGTGCTGGTTGTTGGGAATCACCTGGCAGCTGCTTTTATATCCTTTCTTCCCTGTAGAGTGTCTAGGTAGGGGAGGTGGCCGCAGTGCCTGAGGCCAACTTCCAAGAGGCTAGCAGTGCTGTTGGAATCATGCTGTGGCACTGGTCTGTCGGTACCTGGCCTGTTTCCAGAGATTGGACATGCAGGACTACTGAGGGAGTGGCTGCCACCGGGCGGTGGGCTGCTGGGAAGAGTCGGTCAGCTGAGTGGTGCTCCCACTGTGGGAGCGCAGTGACCACCAGGGAGTAGTTCCTGCATTGAGTGTCTGCCCCCTGGTGGTCAGTGTGCGTAATAGCAACTGGTCATTCTGGTCATTCGGTTGCTTAGACTTTTATATATATAGATTATTGTTGGTAAAGACAATGAGTATCTATAGACTCTTTGTTTCTGGGGTTGTACCCTTGGATTTACCTAATGTGCCACTTCCTCTCTTAGTTTCAATTGGCATCCTTAATGTTAATTAAATTGTTTGGTCATACCAGGGAAGCCCAACACTGTTTCAGGTGTGTTGACATGCTTTCATAAAATTTATATTTTTATCAAAGTGTAGATAAACTGAGTACTTTCCTTTTTAGACCTTAATTATTTTACTGAGAGAGATTTGCTTTCATTTTGAGCACATTGGAAAGCAAGGAGTGGGTTGTCCAGGATAATATGAAGGTTCTTCTAATGACTGTGTGGTGATTGTATATAAGAAGGTATTACTAGAGATATCACTCCACTCTTCCATTTTGCATCCTCGTGTCTTAGTTCCTTCTTTGCTTTAAAAAGTGGCTAATAGAGGCCTTAAACTTTTGCAGGCTTTATTTGACTATTTCTCTGTTCATGCATTAGGATGGTACTTGTGTTTTTGTTCCTTGATATTAAAGGTGGTAGCACTTTATGACCTAGGTAATCATCACCTTGGCTGCCATAATAGAGAACCACAGACTGGATTGGTTAAACAACAGAAACTTAGTTCTTACAATTCTGGAGATTTGGGTGCCAGGATGGTCAGTTTCTGATGAGGGCCCTCTTCTTGCTTCCTGCCTTCCTGCTAAGTTCTGGCATGGCACAGAGCGCTGATGTCTCCCCCTTTTCTTCTCAGGGCACTAATCTTGTCATGAGGGACCTCCCCCATGACTTCATCTAAATTTAATTACCTTCCAAAGTTGTCACCTTTAAATATCTTCACCTTGAGGGCTTCAACATAGGTATTTGGGGAAGACCGTTCAATCCATGGCAACCCAGGGCTGTGAATTTGGGGCACCACTGTGGTACAGTGGGATGGAGAGAGACTTGTGGGGATTCACACTTCCCTTCCCTCACTGTTTTAACCTGAGCAGTTAATGTCATTAGATCTCATGTGAGGAAACAGTACAGCAGGTAGGAATGACCTAAGAATGTGTAATTGACGCAGCGCTTTTCTTCCTCTTCTCTCTCCGCAGAGCTGGGGTGCTCTTCTTCCTGACCACCAACCAGTGTTTCAGCAGCATAACAGCCGTGGAGCTCTTCGTGGTGGAGAAAAAGCTCTTCATGTGAGCGTGGCTCTGTTCCAGGAAGGGCGCTGTCCACTGTTAGGGCTGGTGGTCACACTGGTCACATCCAGAAGTTGGCCACGATTGGTCCCTGGGACTACCAGTGTTCATTGAGAAAAAGCAGCCTTTTTCTGGTGCTGGGAGGGAAATCATGAGAGCAAGGGAAAAGGGAGTTTAAAGATTAGGGTATAGCTGCAAAGGCAATGGTACAAAGAATGTAAGAGATAGAGGCTGAAAAGGATCTTTTGCAAGAAGTTGAAAGAGATTTGCCCATAGTTACAAGCTGGAGGAAAGGAATTGTTAGAGAGGGAAAGAAGGAACGTTTGTGGAAGAGTTTGGACTCACCGGAGGAGGATGTCAGAAAGAGGAGGGACCGAGGTCTTCATTGGGGTGAAAACAGGATTTGATAGCTGACAGGTTGGGAGGTATGATCACTGAAGGAAGAAGTACCATGTTTTCCTTCATCATGAGAATGAAAGGAGAAGGTTTAGTGACCCAAAGCTCTGCTTGGAGAGCATGGAGAATAGCAGCACCACCTTCTTCATGGTCAGAAGTGGGGAGAAGCAAAGCCTGTGTGACCACTGAGATCAGCTACTGAAGTTCTTTTTCACAGAAACCCAGTCAGAGGAGAGGGAGGAGAGGCAGGACGTGTTTACCTGGAGTGGGGGTCCTGAGGGCTAAGTGGGCGGCATTGGGAGGGAATTCTAGAATGAGAAGAGGGGTCCTTGCACAGAGCTCTCGGGAACCAGGTATCAGGGGAGGCGTGCCCCTGAGATGGTGCCTGATGCCGACTGGGTGAAGGTGGTGGGTTAACCTGGAGGATGTGAGAAGCTGTAGCCGTTAGACCCCTGCTGGCAGCAGAAATCAGGACAGCAAATGGTTTAATCATCCAGCCTGTGCCTTCTTAAACTAAAGTGGGATGCATGGTGTGCATTTTTGTTTTTTAGGCATGAATATATCAGTGGATATTACAGAGTGTCATCTTATTTCTTTGGGAAACTCGTATCTGATTTACTACCAATGAGGATGTTACCAAGTGTTATATTTACTTGTATAACATATTTCTTGTTAGGTAAGCAATAAGGTAAAAATTATGTTTCTGTAGTCTTGGATGTGAGAGGAAGCTAATTTCTTTTTGCAAGCATGTTTATATATATATATTTTGACAAAGCACTATAGGACAAGATCCACTGATTGAGTTTAAGCCTCCATTTTACAAATAAGGGGTGTGCCATACACAATTAGGCATAGTACCTGGATCCTCAGCTCCTGATTAGTATTCTTGTGGCTGCTCCAATATCATACACAATACAGTGTATGACCTGTAATAGTGCCCCATTATAGCTATACAGTAGTTTTGTGAAACTTCATTTAACCCCACCCTCAATCCCAAGCTCTGTGGTATTTGTCTCAGAGACCTGGCAGCACTCCCTCAGACAGTGAAACGCCTGGAAGTCATGGGATCCTGATCTCCCAGTTTCTTCACTGTCACTGCTACAGCAAACTGTGAGGAAGGTGATATCTGGGGGGAAAGCCTGTGCTCTTGACAAGTTACCTTCTTAGCGAGAAGGCAGTAGAATTCCAGCCCCCCACCTCAGCACTCAGAAATTGGTAATAATTGCACAACAGAGAGCACAGGTGTTATGTTGTACAGTGCTTATGCGGTCGTATAAAAAAGAAAACGGAATCAATCTGTAAGGAAATTGGTGACTCAGGGTAGTTGTTGGATAGAGGATGAACTTTTCATTCTGATAACTGTTTCTCAAAATATTTGCACAATAAACAATTCCCAATACACAGTGACGTCGGTGGTTGGATTTACCTCCTCTCTCCTTCTTCAGGATTGAAACCGACGGTGGAAGCCTTCTTCATCATGATGTTTTCCCTTATCATGGTGGCTTATGCAGCCAGTTCTATGGCACTGGCCATAGCAGCAGGTCAGAGTGTGGTATCGATAGCAACCCTTCTCATGACCATCTCCTTTGTGTTTATGATGGTGAGTAGGAACTGTGCTTCCCTGAGGAGCAATTATTTCCCCTCCTTCCTTCCCAAAAGTTTACCTGTCATGGAAAACCTGCTTTGAGGATTTTGTCAATGGGACTCTTAGCTTTAAGGAAGCCATATGTTAAAATATAACATATTAGAGAATGTACCAGCTTTTTCTCGACCTTACCCAGCCTCTTTTGCTACTGTTCTAATCTAGTTACTATGACTTTAGTTAACATTTTTTTACAAATAAGATTTTAGCCGAGACCGGTTTGGCTCAGTGGATAGAGCGTCGGCCTGCAGACTGAAAGGTCCCGGGTTCGATTCCGGTCAAGGGCATGTACCTTGGTTGCGGGCACATCCCCAGTGGGAGATGTGCAGGAGGCAGCTGATCGATGTTTCTCTCTCATCGATGTTTCTAACTCTCTATCTCTCTCCCTTCCTCTCTGTAAAAAATCAATAAAAAATATATTAAAAAAAAAGATTTTAAAAGATGCTTCTTGGTGACATACAGTGAAACCTTGATGACTGGGAACTTCAAAACCAGAAAAGTATTTTTCTTTTTTAATCCCCACCCCAAGATATTTTTTCCATTGATCTTTAAAGAGAGAATGGAATGGGGGAAAAGGGTAGGGGAGAGGAGGGAAAGAAAGAGGGAGGGAGGGGGGGAGACAGGGAGAGGGGGAGAGAGAGAGAGAGAGGTGAGAGAGGTGAGAGAGACACATCGACTGGTTGCCTCCCACACTCCCCCTGACCTGGGCAGAGGATGGAACCTGCCCTGCCTCTGAGGTACATGTCCTTGATGGGAATTGAACTGGCGTCCCTTTGGTCCATGGGCCAACACTCTAACCACCCAGCCAAACTGGCCAAGGCAAAACCAGGAGAATTTTGATTGGAAGTTTCCCTCATAGAAATGGCAGGTTCATAGCCTGACTTCCGTGCTGGTGTTAGAGAACTGCTGGCTTATTTCCCCAACAGCTGAGAGGGTTTGTTTGGATCAAATACTTTCCAAGGGAGAAGCTAAGCTCCATGAAAAATAGAACAGTGTGTGGCATGGTCACTCCTCTATTTTGAAAAGGAGTGTTTTAAAAATAGTGAAATATTCCAAAGTCTACATAATACTAGGTCCCCTCCTTTCTTGGTCCTTGACATTCTCTTATATCAACATATTTCTGGTTACCTTTTTTTAAAATCGTTACTTAATCCTAATCTTACATGCCCAAACTTTTGCATAGGTGAAGAGAACCACATAGTACAGCAGTTTTCAACAGGCGTGCCACAAAAGGCACAATGGTGGGATGCAAGAATTTTTACAACATACAATACCCAACTATTTAATCAGGGGCACTGACCTCTTTTCCCCTTTACTATCAAATAAAACAATGACCACAGCCAACACAACAATACCCATCTGGTGTGAATGACTCAAAATTATACCTGTTTTTTCTTGTCATTTTTTGGTGTGCAATACCCATCTGGTGTGAATGACTCAAAATTATACCTGTTTTTTCTTGTTTGTCATTTTTTGGTGTGCCACAGAATTTTAGAGCCTAGTTAATATGTGCCAATGAAATGAAAAAAAGATAGTGAATTGTCGATTTAGCCCATTTCCCTATATTACATCAAGTAAACAGGAACACTTAGCCTATTTGCTTACTACATGTATCCTTTCTGCTAGAGTAGGAGTAGATGCCGTGAAAAATTTGTAAATAGCACAGTCTGGCCATTGAAAACTACCAATCTAAACATTATTGAGAAAGTGATAAACCTTGCCCAATTTTCCTATAATGCCATCCAATAAATAAAATATCCTTTGCCCTGGCTGGTGTGGTTAAATGGTTAGAGTGTTGACCTGCACATTAAAGGGTTGCAGGTTCAATCCCTGGCCCTGGTTGACTTATATAGAACTTTTAAAACCACATATAAAATCGTGTTTTACCAGGAGATGTTATATACTGAACACTTGGTTAGATCAAATTAAAAAATATGGCCCTAACCAGTTTTGCTCAGTGGTTAAAGTGTTGGACTGTGGACTGAAGGGTCTGGGGTTCTATTCTGGTCAAGGGCATGTACCTTACTTAATTGCAGGCTGGATCCCTGGCCCCAGTGGGGGTATGTGTGGGAGGCAACCGATCAATGTGTCTCTCTCACATTGATGTTTCTCTGTCTCTCCCCTTCCCTTCCACTCTCTCTAAAAAACCAGTGGAAAAAAAATGTTCTTGGGTAAGGAATAACAACAACAAAAATGTAGTCACACCAACATCATTGTCTGGTTATGCCCATCCCCACATCCAGAGTACCAGTTAGGAGAAGTTTTGTATGAACCTCTTTTTATGTAGCCATCTCTTCCTGGAACGGTCCTTCCTGGCTCTCCATGGCAATGCTACTTTCAATATCTTTAAATGAAGGTTTTGACCATATTTTATGCTGCAGCTGGCCACTTTATATCCAGGCTTTGGGTTATTTTAAGCATCCATTCTGAACCCCAAATTATTCCTAAAGTCATTTGGAGATGGAATGCAAACCCTGCGGATCAGAAAGCTGACTGTGTTCAGGAAGTAGAGAGGCCCCCCAGGTGCTCAGGATAAGTTCCGGTGTGTCCACTGGTGGGAACACAGTGGTTGCATCATTACAACAGTCAGGACCATGGCCTTCCATTGTGTGCTGTTACAGAGAGTAAAAGCCTTGACAATTAAGGATCTTCCCATTCAGTGAAACATAGATACGTTGTCATTCCTTCACAGCCACAAACAGCCTCGGCTAAGAGAGGAGTACACATGCAAAGAGGACATGGTAAGCCTTTAGAGCAGTGGGAGAAATTTTAAGAAAGCGTTGGCCTTAGCAGAAATGTCTCCAGGGCTGTAGGGGGTTAAAGAGGGTAAGCTTTAGAATTCATGAGTCACTCCCCCAGTTCTGATGGCTGGGATTTTCTGTTGTAGATCTTCTCAGGGCTGTTGGTCAATCTCAGAACCGTTGTGCCCTGGCTCTCCTGGCTTCAGTACTTGAGCATTCCTCGGTATGGCTATGCGGTAAGTTCTCTCCTGTCCCTGTGACCAGTCCATCGTTCCCCAGCTGGGACAGGCAGCAGCAGCCTGACCCTCGCATGTCCCCAGACTTGGCTTTCCTGTGTGAGGGAGGTGAAGGGTGGGGAGCTAACTCATGGTGAAGCAGGAAGATTGACCAATTGATGTAAAAAATGTTGGTTTTCAGTTCAGTACCGAAATACATGAGAGGATGGGAGCCTAGACTACATTTTGTTTTTCTAGACTCCATATTTTATATTGCAAGGGAAATTAAAAAAAATAAAATAAAACCACACCAAGACCACATACTTTTCACAGCCATTATTGGCTTTAGAATCTAACTCCAGTGAAAACTGTCTGTCTTAATATAGTATAATTGAGTTTCAACGTCCAAGAATTACAACTTGTTTTGATTAAAACAAATAAGAACTATACAAAAGATGTTACCGTAAATTAAAAATAGTCACTGAGAACCATTGTATCATTTTGTTTATGGTGTTTTTGGGTTACAACATTGGGGAGAGAGGAGGAAGGTGCTGTAGGGTAATATAGCCAAAAGGTATTCCCTGTTTGCCAAATAATTTATTTTCTTTGTATTAGAAGCCAAACTTTTAACCATAGGCCTCTTGAATACCAAGAACAATCATTTTAGCTGCTCTGGTGTGACAAAGACTGTGAGTGTGAAGCTTGGTTTGTTTTCAGAAATAATAAAGAATTAAACTAGGAGGATGGGATTGTGGTAATTCTTTGGAAGCTTTGAAATTCAAACCTGTTTATCTTGCCTGTTCCCCCTTGCGTTATAGGCTTTGCAACATAATGAATTTTTGGGACTAGACTTCTGCCCGGGACTCAATGTCACAGCAAACAGTACCTGTAACTTTGCAACGTAAGTGATGCGTTTGGTTACTGTTTGGTATGACGGAGAAAGGCCACTGGGCTGAGCTGGAATGAGTGCTTTCAGGGACATTGGCCTAGAACAGCAGATGCCCCTCAAAGTGAAAGGAGAGTCCCTAAGTTATCCCTGAGGCTCTCATAAAAGTTGGTTTCAGGGACCAGAGAAGATTCTTAGTGACCTATACATGTTAGCTGGGCCAGCCAGCTAGAGAGCTCCTCATGTCCGGAGGGCAAGTCCTGTCGGCCTTCTCTGGGAACATTGGAAACTGCCAGCTGGCTCTTATTTTCCAAGCTGGGTGAGGTCAGGCTCTCATTTATCCAGCAAAAGGTCCTGTTTAGACCCTAAGAAAGCAATCCCAACTGAAAAGCCAAAGTTAAAAAGCAGCCATCCATTCCCCACCCCCCTCCCGTCCTTAGTTACCTTGACCCTTATCTGTAGCCTAGAGTCTCTCAACCCTTAACCCTTAGCCTCACCTCAAGGATTTAAAAAAGCTGAAATAGTGTCAGCCTGAACTTCAGACACAAAGGAAGGAAGAGAAAGGAGAGAAAAGAACATCCTTCCAGCCAAAGGGCAAGGATCTCTCTCTCTCTCTCTCTTTCTCTCTCTCTCTCTCTCTCCATGGTAACTAATAAGCTGACAGGGAAAGCCGCAGGGAAGTGCCTGGTGTGACGTCACAGTGTTGTGGGTGCGTGGACATTGCCTTGCAATCCGTGGGATGCCTAGTGCAACTTCCCCAGTCCGTGACCAACTCATGCTGTCACGGGAGTCTTTTAGCGGTGAGCACCTTAATGGCTTTTCAGTGCTTGACCCATGCGCCCACAGTGCGGCAATCCACAGAGAAAGGGAGAACCCCATGGCCGGAGGAAAGAGAACACAGTAATGTCCTTCAAGCCAAGGTGGGGAGGACACCTGGCTTACCAGGGACGAAACAATCCGAGTCATAGTATCCAGTGTACCGTAGGCCTCGGGAATGGCACCAGGTGTCTGACCAGTGGGGCCAGACCAGACCTGGGTTCAGCAACCTCGGCACCTGGCTTCTGGCTGGGAAAGAATTCAGAGCAAGACCCAAACTGTAAGAGAACATTTATTTGGTAAATCACAGCGTTAGAAGAAGTAATTCCTAGAAGAAATGGGCTTAGGAAACGATTTCTGAAGGTAAAGGAAGAACCTTTGGAGTTTGGGAGTAAGGACGCTAATGGTAACATGCAATTATAATACATGTAACATATAAAATATGTGTTAATTGTTAATGTTAACAATTAGGCTTTTATGAACAGGAGGCTATTGGTAGTCAAATCATGGGGGAGTCTAGTTATATGTGGATTATTGACTGTGCGTGAGGGTCAGCGTCCCTAACCCCACATTGTTCAAGGGTCAACTCTACTGCCAGGAAACCTCTAGGGAGGAAGAGGTTTCTTTATCCTGCCCACCCCCTCTTTTGATCTGGGTGTGACATTTTTCAGATCTGCTAAGTTCCAGGAGTCACACAGCAATGGTACCAGACAAGAATGGTGGCTGTGCCCGTTATTTTCAGTACCAGGTGCTGATCTAACCCGTGGCAGGGCCCCTCCTTCCTGCTCTACTCCAGCTTCCCCGAGGCCTCACCTGATGCCTGGGCCTGCGGTGACGTCCTGTAGCTGAGGGTCTGCCAGGCTCATCCGGTCTCTGTCCCAGAGCTGGGGGAGTGCAACAGTCAGGAAGCCCTTCCCCACCTCTTGTCCTAGTTTTGCGTTCCTTTGTGTGGCTGATTTGTGGTTATTGCGCTCTATAAAGAGCCTTGACCATGTTTGTAAGGGCCTACGTGTCATCTGTGAAAGCGGAGGATTTCTCTTTCAGGAGAAGTGAAAATTTACTTGATAAACATTTCTGCCTTTGAAGAGAGCAGTTCATAGATTGGGAGCCAAATGAATCTGGAATGGATAGCAACTTGGTTCAAAGTGTGAGCCTGTGGATTTAGCTAAGTTCCTTAAACCTCAGTCTCTTCATCTTTTAAACATGTCTAATATCCACCCCACTGAGTTGTTTTAGGGGTTAACTAAACTGTGATATGCAGGCTGCTTATCCTGATAGCTAGCAGAATTGTAAGTACTCATTGACTTTACCTGTTATATATGAAGGGATAGTTATTTCAGACTTGGTAATCTATAGGCTTCTTTAAGGAACAGCAACTATATTGAGTAAAATTGGACAGAAGCTAAGAATGCAGTCATATTCTTTTCTGTTGAATTTCAGATGTACCGGAGAAGAATTCTTGGTAAACCAGGGCATCGATCTCTCACCGTGGGGCCTGTGGAAGAATCATGTAGCCTTGGCATGCATGATTGTTATCTTCCTTACAATTGCCTACCTAAAATTGCTGTTTCTTAAAAAATTTACTTAAATTTCTTTTGAATGTACATGGCCTATCTATACATTAAAAAGAGCATCTTGATTTATGTATTCAATGAAGTTTTTGCGTGTCTTTTCATTTGCCATCATATTATTGTTCAGCCAAAATCATTTCCAACAGAAAGCATCATAGAAATCACAATGAACTGAATTGTACATGAAATAACCCATCATTATCTAGTGGTACAAGAGGCCTGGTGCATGAATTTGTGCACAGGGGAGGGGGAGAGGGAGAGGGAGAGGGAACTTGGGAAGTTGGCTGGCAGCTCCGAGGAGAAAGCCGGACCTCAGCTCCCCTGGGAAAGGAGCTGCGTCCACTGCCACCCAGCCCTGGTTCCCTGTCCTAGCCTGGGGCCTGAAGGTCCGGCAGGGTTGGGAGAGGAGGCGAAGGTTGCTGGGCCAGGTGTGGAAGGAACAGATGTTGGATGCTACTGCTGCCCTTCTACCACGGGGTTCCCCGCCTCCCCCCCTCCTCCTTCCCTCACTACTGCGCGGGCAGCCCCCGGGGAAGGGAGAGGATAGGAGCAAGACAAACTCTTGTGTCAAGGGCTGACTTTCAATAGACTGTAGTGAGGGAGCTGCTCTGATACATATGAAACCCTGACCCAGAAGCAGGTCATCTACGAATGATTTAGCACCAAGGGCCGATGGAGGCGGTCGGGTTGGGGAGAGGGTGGCGGGGAAGGGAAGGAACCACAGGGGATTGGCCAGTCGCAGGAGGTTGGCTGTGGGAGGGAACTGACTTCTGGGGGCAGCTTCTGCATTGAGCGTCTGCCCCCTGGTGGTCAGTGCACATCATAGTGACCAGTCAACCAGTAGTTTAGTGGTAAGGGTCACTTAGGCTTTTATATATATACTA